CAAGAGCAAAGAGCCCAGCAGAATGATTTAAAATATTTTGAGTTTGGCCATAAAGGAAGCTCCAGTAAAGTTGCAGCCTGCAAAGAAAGAGCAGAGGGGATCTTGATTGCTGAGAAGGAATAGGAGAATAGAAAAAAATGGCCTGAGGGCATCACAAGAAGCAGCAGGACTTCACCCTCTGCAGCCTCAAAATTGCAAAAGTGAAAGACTGCTTTGAGAAGGGCCCCAGAGCACCATGTTCCAGAATGGCGGTGGCCTAGAGAAGTTGTTCCTTGGGATTTGGTTCATAGGTACTGGACCCTTAGAGCCAAGAAAGAAGGAAGCCTGGCTGCTGGCAGCAGACCTTGGCATCATCCACGTGGTGTTGGTTTTTAGTGCATGCAGAATGCAAGAGTTGTGGAGTCAGGAGGCTTCCACCCAGATTTCAGAAGAAGGCCTGGGAGGCCAGGCAGTGTGTCCCTGAGAGGGCAGAGTGTGAAGCTGTGAGTGTGAAGCCAAAGGTGCAGTGGAGACCCCAGAAGTTTGGAGAAGCCAGGAACGTGGATCATCTGAGGAAAACTGCAAGGAGGAAGCAGAGCTGGCTCAAGAGAACCCACAGGAGCTTCAACCACTGGCAGTGCTGTAGGGATGGAGCCATTCAAGCCCTCTGGAGTTCACAACTTGCCACAGATTGCCGTGGATGCTGGACATGGAACTACAGGACTTAATGTTTGCCTTGCTGGATTTTGGACTTGCTTTGGTCCCATTCCTTTGTATCTCCCTGTTTGTACGTTTTGGAATGGAGATGTCTATCCTGTGCCTTTGAATGTTGGAAGTGTTTAACTTTCTTTTCATTTGTATAGAGGCTTGCAGCTAAGAGTTTGCCTTAAATCTCAGAGGAGACTCTGGCCTTGGACTTTTCAGCCATGCTGAAACTGTTAGGACTTTGGTAACTTTTAGAGAAGGACTAATGCCTTTTGTATAAAGGGATATGTGTGATTCTTGAGGGGGGGGGTTGCCAGGGGCGGACTGGTATGGCTTATAGATGTCCCCCCAAAGCCTCATGTGGTCATAGATAGGGCTTTTTCAGAGGTGGCTGGATTTAGAGTGTGTGAAGCTGGGATTGATTCATGGCACAATGCTAGGATCAGGGGCACTAGGATTAAGGGTGTCAGAGCTACCTGGCCTAAATAGTCCAGAAAAGATATAAGGGATAGAAAGAGCTGTGGTCACCCCTTGTTGCTTTGCTACCTTCTGCCCACTATGAACTGTTTCTCCTCCGTGACATCTGTTTGTTCTGCCACCCTGCCTTGGGGCCAGCTGATAATGGACTGAAACTCTAGACACGGAGCTAAATAAACCTTTCCTTCTTTAACTTATGGGTGTCGAATATTTTTTCTCAGCAACGAGAAAAGTAGCTAAGACGTCCCTTACACTAGCAGGAGAATAAAGTGTTGAGAAGGGGAGCAGAGAGGGGGAAGGATGCATGCTTCCTGAGCTTAAACTTGAGCTCCCAGGGTTGGAGCACAATCACAAGCGGAGTGTAAAGAAAATGCTGGTTGGGCCTTTCATTTTTTTTTTGGGCCAAAGTGACCAGTGTTTTACGGGAAATCCCAAACGGGGCCTTTTAACTCTCGGTTCTCCTTTCCCAGCGCGGCAACCCTGCCCAGCTGGTACCCTCTGTGGGTTTCTTCCGCCTTGGGGCAGCCTGACCGGCGCTTTCGACCAGGGCACAGCCGCCTGCGGCCGACCGAAGCCCCACACCGCCCCGCGCTCCGGAAGGCAGGCGGCGCCGCAGCGCGGACCTCCGGCCTCAGGTACAGCCGGGCGCCCCTCTGCGGAGCAGACTCGGTGGGCACCATGCCCTCCTCCCGCCGCTGGGGTTGGTGCTGGGGGTCGGGGCGGGTCTTGGCTGAGCCGGGAGCCTCCGAGCCGCGTTCCCTGCCCCGGGTGTGTCGTTGATCACCGGGTACTTGTGGGACGGAATTTAAACAGATTGGATTTCAGGCCCATGGTTCAGAAGAGGGGCAGCTTCACCGCACCTCCTTCCCGCGGGAGTCCAGCCACTCACTCCTGCGGGATCGGAGTTAGAGCCCTGCTTAGAAAACCACTTTGAGTATTTCAGCACAGTCAGTTCTTAAAGAATGCTCTGAAGTCCCCCTTACAACTAATTCGCCTTCTCTGAGACTTGGGTTTAGAATTTAGATGCAAGACAGGAAAGAGTTTTTCTTTCTTAAAAAATTGTACTGGGTGTAAACAACCCATCCTACTGAGATGATTTTAAATCGTGCAGGTCTTGATTCTGTTACTAAGAGTTCTGCAAAAGAACACTTGGTAAATAGGGTGGCCTGGCTTGAAAACGGAGACCATTAAAAAAAAAAAAAAAAAGGAAAAGGAAATAGCAAACATCGTGACTCTTGGAAAATGATTTCGTCATCAGTATTTTGTTCCTTCCTGTTCCAAGTAACATGTACATCTTAAACTTTTTAGGGTGTTCCTATGTTACAAAACTGCCAGAATTTCCACAGCATATTTTGGAAGTTCCCAAGCTGTCAGTTATTTTTTTGGTACTATTTTACTTATAAATAAACTAACAGGACAGAAAGCTAATGCTAAAAATCACCCCCAAATTTAAATGAAGGCAAGAAAGATAAGAGAACATAAAATAGGCGAGACAAGGAAAACCATAGTACAATGTTTAAATTCCAACAGATCAGTAACTGTATTGAATGGAAAGGACTAGAGTTTATAATTATCAGACTAATATTGAGAGTGGGACTTAAAAATTACAACCTAGCATCACATTCTGTTTGAAAGAGATGCATTTCATAAGGGTACTGAAAGATTTCAAGTTAAAGCATCCAACTGATTATCAAAAAAGCTGTTTATATAGTAGTATCAGACAAAGTAGATGTTAAGGCAAAAAAATCAGTGCCAGAGTAAAGAGGAACATTTCATAAGGCTGAAAGTTTCACTGAAAAGAGATTCTGAATTTATAAGCACCTATAACATGGCATAAAAGATATAGCCAATGGACAGATCTATGGGGTGACTAATCTATACGGTGCAGGGTTTATCTCTCTCTAGAAACTGATGTAAAAAGCAGATGAAAGATCAGTAAGGCCAAGAAAATGGGAAGTCTGTGCCACAGAATTAAGAGGCCTGGCCTCGGGAGCTTACTAAGTGGAATGGGATCGGCACACAACAAAGCTCCAGATCAAGGCAAACCTGTCTTGCCCCTTTGCCATGGGAGGACACAGCAGCAAGGCATATTCCTGGGGGCTGAGAACAAACAGCCCAGCCCCCACCTCTAAGGATCAGAGTTTTATTCTTTATAAATGACCCAGGCTCAGGGATTTTTGTTATAGCAGCACTAAAGGATGAAGACAAACAGATTCTATTATGGGAGTGAAGAACCTTGGAAGTGATGGATACGCTTACAATGATACAGCCATGAATGTATACGTATGTCTGAACTCACCAAATTGTATACACTCATTAAGTGCAATTTATTGTATTCCAATTATGTCTAAAATAGCTGATGAGAAAATGATAATCCAGAACAAATGTGCATAGAGTGACTCCTTTATCTAAACAAAAGAATGGAGATGCAAAGCAATGGCATTGATGTGAACATAAAAATTCTGGCTCAGACAGTGCTTGAATTCCCAAACCAAACATGTTCATGTTTTTAATTCTTAAAGTTTTACTGCATTGTGTGTGGCTGCAGATTATATATATAGCTTAGGCCTATAAATTATCTTAGATTCTGTGAATGTGAGTAGTTAGGTCCATTCATAAAAAGTTTTATTAATGTAGTTAACTACCTTAACTTTTTATAGAGTTATTCCACTGAACAAATACAGAAAAAATCACACAGATGAGAAGGACAGGGTTGCTCAGTGTTAGGGTTTGGGTCTAGAGGTCCCCAAGCCTCATGCAGTCACAGGGCTTTTTGAGAGGTGGCTGGATCTAGAGTGTGTGATGCTGGTATCAAGGGTGTGTGATTACTGAATAAGTCTGCTGACTGGTTTGGCACCGCCCTAATCCCAGTATTTTGGGTAAAATAAAAGAGGAAGAAAGATGCTGTTAATGTTCCCTGTTTGCTTTGCTACCTTCAGTCTTCCTTGAACTGTTGCCCCTCTGCCATGCCACCCTGCCTTGAAGCCAGCCAAATATGAACTGAAGCCTCTAAAAACTGTGAGCCAAATAAGCCTTTCCCCTTTTAACTTTAGGTGTTGGGTATTTTGTCTCAGCAACGAGAAAGTAAGACACTCAGTATAGCTAGAGAAGGAAATAGGTTCTAGAGGGGGGCCAGAGAGAAGTCTGTTGGATTCAAATGGATGGAAGCAAATGGGCATTTGTTGTGCACACAGCTATACTTCCTTCACATTTGTCTGAACAACCCAACCAGGAGCCAATCAAACACTGCTTTCTGCATTAGTCTGCAGGAGGAGAAGGTTCTGACCGCCCGAGTGTCCTTCAACCCAGCAAACTGCTTTGCTCTGCCTGGGGCTCCCCACATCCTCCCTGCCTCTAGGAATGGGAGCAGGGCAGGGGTGGGTGGCTTGAGGCTGTCTTGGGTCAAGAGCATGCTCTTCCTGGAGCTTCGCGGAATGCATTGCTGTCCAGGCAGAGTTGTGGTTAGCATGTCTGAGGTCTCCATGTGCTCCGACGACACTGACGCAGCGAAAAAGCATACCTAAAAAGGGAGAGGATTTCAAGTATTGCTCATTATACTGCGTGTTGGCCACTGCTCCATTCATATATCTCATTCATTCTCTCAGCTCGTGTTTGTGGAGTCCTTCTTCAGTCCCAGATGGCTGTACTTTTACCTGTGCACAGCGGTCGAGTATCTTTTAGTGCTGCCGAATGTGTCAGGGAATTCATTTTTCACCCTCACTTATATGTTCCATTCTCCCATCATTTCCGGTGTGCATTAGGCTTGATAAAATACTTCTTGAGAAGTGGAATTATAACATGCCGTCAAACAGTCTCATTTGAACCTCTTTCATTTATAGGTTGAATCATTGACAATGTCTCATGCTTTGTGGACCGTGTGGCTCCTGGGGGTCGTGATCAGCCCTTCCAAGGAAGGACCCTCTGGTCAGGCCTCTCTGTCTTGTGACCCAGCTGGTGTCTGTGATGGCCGTTCCAGGTCTTTCAACTCCATTCCCTCAGGGCTGTCAGCAGCCGTGAAAAGCCTTGATCTGTCCAACAACAGGATCACCTGTGTGAGCCGCAGCAATCTGCACAGATGTGTGAACCTCAAGGCTCTGGTGCTGATGTCCAGTGGAATTCACGAAATAGAGGAAGATGCCTTTCTTTCCCTGGGCAGTCTTGAGCATTTGGACTTATCCAAAAATCACTTGTCTAAATTATCATCCTCTTGGTTCAGGCCCCTTTCCTCCTTGAAATTCTTAAACTTACTGGGAAATCCTTACCAAACACTCGGAGAAGCATCTCTGTTTTCTCACCTCACAAATTTGCGGATCTTGAGGGTAGGAAGTGATGCCTTCACGAGGATGCAGAAAATAGACTTTGCCGGACTCACCTTTCTTGAGGAACTTGAGATTGAGGCATCAAATCTTCAGAGTTATGAGCCACAAAGTCTGAAGTCAGTTCAGAAGATTAGTCATCTGGCCCTTCACATGAGGGAGTCCCTTTTACTGCTGGAGATTTTCGCAGATATTTTAGGTTCTGTGGAACATATGGAACTGAGTGGTACCAATTTGAATACGTTCAGGTTTTCAGAGCTGCCTGTCAGTGAAGCAAATCCATCGATTAAAAAGTTTACATTCAGAAATGTGAAATTTGCTGATGAAAGTTTTACTGACATTCTGAAACTTTCAGGGTATATCTCTGAATTGTTGGAGATAGAATTTGAGGACTGCACTTATAATGGAATTGGAAATTTTAGGACCTCTGGGACAGAAGAAATGTATCTAAGAAAAGCAGAAACAATAATAATTCGGAGGCTGTATATTCCGAATTTCTACTTATTTTATGATCTCAGTAATATATATTTACTCACAGAAAGATTTAAACGAATCACACTAGAAAACAGTAAGGTATTTTTGGTTCCTTGTTCACTTTCACGACATTTGAAATCATTAGAATACTTGGATCTCAGTGAAAATTTGATGGTTGAAGAAAATTTGGGAAATTCAGCCTGTGAGGGTGGCTGGCCATCCTTACAGACCTTAGTCTTAAGGAAAAATCATTTCACATCAATAGAAAAAACTGGACAGGTTTTGCTGACTCTGCAAAACCTAACCAGCCTCGATATCAGTAAGAACAGTTTTCATTCTATGCCTGAAATTTGTCAGTGGCCAGAAAAACTGAGCGACTTGAACCTGTCTAGCACACAAATACACAGTTTAACCAGCTGCATCCCCCAGACGCTGGAAATCTTAGATGTGAGCAATAATGATCTCAGTTCTCTTTCTTTGCGTTTGCCTCAACTCAAAGAACTTTACATTTCTAGAAATAAGCTGAAGACCCTCCCAGAGGGCTCCCGGTTGCCCGTGTTGCAGGTTTTGAAGATCAGCAGGAATGCGATAAATACTCTCTCCAAGGAGGAACTGCTTTCCTTTCAGAGACTGAAGGCCTTGGAAGCTGGCGGCAACAGTTTCATCTGCTCCTGTGACTTCCTGGCCTTCACGCGGGAGCAGCCAGGGCTGCCCGAGGTCCTGAGCGACTGGCCGGCTGGCTACGTGTGCGACTCGCCGTCCCACGTGCGCGGCCAGCGGGTCCGGGACACGCGGCTCTCGGCCTTCGAGTGCCAGCGGGCGATGCTGGTGTCCGTGGTGTGCTGCGCGCTGCTCCTGCTGCTCCTGCTGGCCGGGGCGCTGTGCCGCCGGCTCCACGGCCTGTGGTACCTGAAGATGATGTGGGCCTGGCTGCAGGCCAAGAGGAAGCCGCGCGGAGCCCCCCGCGGCGACCTGTGCTACGATGCCTTCGTGTCCTACAGCGAGCGCGACGCCTGCTGGGTGGAGGACCTGCTGGTCCGCGAGCTGGAGCACTGCGACCCCCCGCTCCGCCTGTGTCTCCACAAGCGCGACTTCGTCCCGGGCAAGTGGATCATCGACAACATCATCGACTGCATCGAAAAGAGCCACAAAACGGTGTTTGTGCTCTCGGAGAACTTCGTGAAGAGCGAGTGGTGTAGGTATGAACTGGACTTCTCCCACTCCCGCCTCTTTGACGAGAACAACGACGCTGCCATCCTGGTCCTGCTGGAGCCCATCGCGAGGCAGGCCGTCCCGCAGCGCTTCTGCAAGCTGCGGAAGATCATGAACACCAGGACCTACCTGGAGTGGCCGGCCGAAGAGGCCCGGCGGGAGGGCTTCTGGGCAAACCTGAGGACGGCAATCAAGGCCTAGGGTCACGCAAGGCCCATGTTCCACCAACTGGATCAAGTTCACCGTGACGTGATTGTGCAAAGGGCGCAGGAATGCGCGGGAACGGGAATGGCTCGCTTACTACGACTGCATTTTTTTTTTTTTCTTTCTTTCTTTCTTTTTTTTTTCTTTCTTTTCTTTTTTTTTTTTTTTTTGTCTAGAGAGCTATTTTATAAAAACTGTTACCAGATTTTTTTAAATGATTTTTTCCCTTTAATGTAGGAGATAATCATGATCTAAGTCCATGATTGGCACCTGAATAATCTGTAGCAGTTGGCTTAGTTTGCCAGGAAATAGCACAAATGGGCTGCCGATTGCCAATGGCTGTGCTGTCAGCTTTCTGCAGAGACTGCTGTCACCTCTTTTGCAACTGATCTCGAGATCAACAAGGCGAAATATCTCAGGGCACTCAGCCAAACTTGTTGCTATTCCTAGAAAAAGGGCAGTATGTTCCCAGTTAAACTTTTCAGTATGCAAAATACATAGAGGGTTTTCATGTGAACTGTCTTTCTGGGAATTTGATAATTTGTCCAGCCATAGAGTATGTAACACATGAGACAGCAAACATTGTCTTACTATCAGAACAAAACCATTGAGATAAATAAAGTATTTAGTTTGGAAGACTTTGAAAGGCGTCTCCTACATCCTGACTCTGGTCTTCCTCAGCCTTAGCTACCTGTTGATTTCTCATCAGTGTCTGCTTACTATTGTTGTCTGTTCCCTCACATGCATTTGTTGCTTTTCCTTCTGTGAAAAGTCTAGTTTCTAATTCTTTAAAAACATTCCATTTTTTCCTGGAAATTTTTAAAAAATTATGTGAGAGCAAAATAGATTTTAAAATAATTATATACCTAGAGGTTCTTTACCATGACTCAAAAATAGTTTGGAACACAATCTGTACATAGATACTACTATCATGTGTTACTTTTTATAATCAAGACTTAATAATACATTGAATTTGAATGTACCATTGTTTGTTAAGAGCCCTGTCCTGACTCTATGTGGCTCTCTTCTCCCGACGGTGAAAGGGAATGAAAGTCCTCTAACCCCAGCTCTGTTCTCAACCAGAACTCAGTTTATGTGGTTTCCTGGGCTCTGGATTTAGGAAGACCTGTGTTAGTAGATGCGTGACGTTGGCTTGATCTGACTTCCAATCTGTTCCTGACTTTAAAATGGGATGGTGCTCGCTACAATGCCAGGGTCCTGAGAGTATGAAATGCAGTGATCTACCAAGCCCATGCTCCCTGGTGACCATTCCTTTTCAGCTGGGGGTGAGGAGAGCAAGGCTACCAAACCAGTGAGCATGAGGACCACGGATGCCTGTGTGGGGCAGGAAGGATGCTGGTAGTACATGTCAGCAGATGGTATTATTTTCCAGGAGGTGATTCATTTCTTTTTATATTATGGCTTATAAATGGATATTTTCCTGTTATGGGTACTAGCATGGATATGAGGGATCCTGGTGTTTACAGAAAAATACCCTAAAGAAAGAACTTTGTTAAGTGATAACAGGCATGAGTCTTAGAGAGCTCATGTCGTGCTTCTCTTCCATACACACTCCCAGGAGAATGTAGTGGAGGAAACATAAGCCAGCCAACAAAAAGCCAGACAAGTTCAGAAGAAGGGAACTTGAGGAGATGCCAGAGAACCAGCACAATAACAAACCTTCGGCTTTGCTTTCCCATTTGCTAATTAGCACCATATTAACTATCACAGCACCAAATAGACTTAACCTTGACGTGATCTACATATTTAACTTCGAAAATTTCAACAGCTATAGCAATAGCTTCATAGTTCATAGGTTTAAAATTACCTTTAAAATAATCTTTTTTTTTTCTTATTGCAAATGTTAAACATTTTCACTATGGAAATTTTGGAAAACAGATAAGAATATATAAAAGAAAATGAGAGTTCACTCTGAGTCCATCACCTGGAATAACCACTGTTAACTTTGTAGTATATAACTTGCCAATATTTTTTTCAATGTACATGTACATACTACTTTAGAAAATTAGGATTAGATTGTAAATAATATAAACATACAAAAATTGTATCTTTATTATTTTTTCTGAGATTGTTCAGAGATTGTTGTACAGTATTTTGGGTCACACGGAAATAGTGGTGACAGCCTGTGGGCTGTTAGGTATGCTAGAACCTTTAATGGCGTTTAGTGGAAGGTAGGTCACTGGGATGTGTCCATGAAAGGGACGTGCGCTCCTCGGCCCTTTCCTTTTCCCCACATTGCTTTCTCACCACCATGGAGTGGACAGGTCTCCTTGGGCACACACTCCTGCTATGACATATGGCAGGCCCAAAGCTACAAAGCCAAACAACCACAGGCTGACACTTCCTAAACTATGAGCCAAAATAAATGTGTCCTGTTTTTAGGTTATTTCAGGTATTTGTTAGAGTAATGGGAAACTGACTAACACACTGATCATATAACATTTCTGAATGGTGAAGGCCATTTTGAATTCCATGTAGATAAAAACTGCTTTACCTGCCCATAGTCTAAAGGGTACTAGAAGCTACCCTCATGTAGCTATCCATAAAAGTAAGTGTCAAAAACACTAGAGATCAATATGAGGCCTATTTCTTAATAGCATTCCTTGTTATTTGTTGGATCTTTAAAAACTTTTCAAATTGGTTATAAAGATCTATGGATTTCATTTTGGCAGATTCATAAGCATAATATATTTTCAGAATAATATATTTTACCCCCTTTCCCATGCCATTTTTCCCCTTCCCCACACTCCTCCCTAGTTTCATGTCTTTGGGGGGATTTCAATACTTACATTTTGCTCATATTTATTCCCCCTATTACCTGCCTTTCCACCTCCTCTCCCTCTTATTATCTTCCTCACATGGGACACTGGAGTGAGCTCCAGACCTTCAACTGGATCCGTCAGTCTCCCGCGTGCAGACAGACCCTCTGCATTCTTCCATATTCAACTCTGTGGGTGGCTATTGTAAGCCAATCTTGTAAATTCTTACATATACTTATATAATTTGTGTTATATCTGTTTCTCTAATAAACACTGACTGATACAGATTTTGGGACCAGGAGTGGGGTCATTGCTGTGACTGTACCTGACCATGTGGTTTTTGGGCTTTTGGAACTGTCTTGTGGGAAGGGGGAAGTTAGGATGAGATGCTGGCTGAAAAAGTAGAGCTGGAATGCCTGAGGCTGTACTTGATGGTCTCCCATCAAGTATCTCTTATCAGAGATCAGAAGACCAGAAGGCTGATAGAAATGATGCCAGTAAAGACCAGGGTCAAATATTCTTTGCTGGAAAGAAGGACTGCATTGGCAGTTGGACTCCAGATGATGTGTATTATACCTTGGCAGAAAGTTTGTCTGAATTTTGCCTATGCCCAGAGACTGTGCCTGAGACTGAGATTAAAGGTGGCAGACTAATTAATCTTGCAGAAGAAATTTCAAAGCAGTCTAATGTTGGGGCAGTGACAGTGCTACTCTTGGAGGCTTTATGCCAGATTTATGTTGAGAATCAAGAGCAAAGAGCCCAGCAGAATGATTTAAAACGTTTTGAGTTTGTCCAGAAAAGAAGCTCCAGTAAAGTTGCAGCCTGCAAAGATGGAGCAGAGGAGATCTTGAGATCCTGTTCCTTCTCCTCAGAACAGGAAAATAGAAAAGATGACCTGAGGGCATCACAAGAAGCAGCAGGACTTCAACCTCTCCAGCCTCAAAATTGCAAAAGTGAAAGACTTTGCTCTGAGAAGGGCCCCAGAGCACCATGTTCCAGAATGGCGGTGGCCTAGAGAAGTTGTTCCTTGGGATTTGGTTCATAGGTACTGGACCCCTAGAGCCAAGAGAGAAGGAAGCCTGGCTGCTGGCAGCAGACCTTGGCATCATAATGCCATGGGGTGTTGGGTTTTTGGTGCATGCAGAATGCAAGAGTTGTAGGGTCAGGAGGCTTCCACCCAGATTTCAGAAGGCCTGGCAGGCCAGGCACTGTGCCCCTGAGAGGGCAGAGTGTGAAGCTGTGAGTGTGAAGCTGAGGGTCCAGTGGAGACCCCAGAAGTTTGGAGAAGCCAGGAACGTGGATCATCTGAGGAAAACTGCAAAGAGGGAGCAGAGCTGGCTCCAGAGGAAGCCATGGGCGCTTCAACCACTGGCAGTGCTGAAGGGGTAGAGCCACCTAAGCTCTTTGGGGTTCATAACTTGCCAAAGATTGCCACAGATGCTGGAAGTGTAACTATGGGACTTAATGAAAGTGAAACTGTGGGTTTGGCCTGCTGGATTTAGGACTTGAATTGGTCCCATGCCTTTGTATCCCCGTTTGTGCCTTTTGGAATGGCAATGTCTATCTCGTGCCATTGAACGTTGGAAGTGTTTAACTTTCTTTTCATTTGTGTAGAGGCTTCCAACTAAGAGTTTGCCTTAAATCTCAGAGGAGACTTCGGACTTGGACTTTTCAGTGATGCTGAGACTGTTAGGACTTTGGCAACTCTTGGAGATGAACTAAATGCCTTTGCATAACGGGATGTGGATGCGTCTTTGGGGGGCCAGGGGCAGAATGTTATGGCTTGTGTCTTCATGTCCTCATGCAGTCATAGGTGGGGCTTTTTCAGAGGTGGATGGATCTAGAGTGTGTGAAGCTGGGATTGATTCATGGTGCAGTGCTAGGCTCAAGGGCAGTAGGATCAAGGGTGTCAGTGCTACCACCCTGAGTGGTCTGTGGTTTCAGGACTTCCAGGTGGTGACAGGACAGAGAGTAGAGAAGACAGCGCTCTCACACCACCGTCCTCGCTCCCTGCTTCTTTCTGCGCCCAACCCTACATGTGTGGTTACACTTAAATATTCCATCTACTGCTTTGATGGTGTGGAAATGATTAGAAAGCATTAATTATAACTAGATGCTGAATGTGAGAAGTGCTTTAAAGACCTCGGAAACACTTCCTAGATGAGATCACTAGCAGCCAAACCAGTGGCCAGAAGCCCATGGTGGAGTGTAACAAATGGGCCCATGTGTGGGTTAGAAGATTGCAATGGGAAAGAGGAAAAGGTGTGTTTTACTTGTTTATTCCATTGTTCAGCTTTTCTTTCAATTCTTTCCACAGAGACAAGTTCTTTTGAGTATGATCCAAAATTTTATTAAGTTTTCTAAACTCTTGAGGTCACCTCTAAAATTAAAAAAAAAGTCATTATTAAAGGTGAGAGAAAGGATTTAAAAAAATTTCAGCCATGCAATACATTGCTTCTGGGGTAATCTGGCTGCACTATTCTAACCCCAGTGAATAGTTAATGCCTTGAACTATTCCTATTACCACAGGTTGCCAGGCCACCAGATAACGAAGCCAATCCAGGATTTGCCCATACAAAAAATGTGTGCGCTCCCAGCTGAATCTCAGTTAAGGAGGTTGCTCCATATGTGGCCACATAGCCAAAACAGTCACAGTTGTGATATGCAAATATCATAAGCAATGTAAAGGACAGAGATTTCCTTTCTTGTTGGTTCTGTGCACTCAATTAAAAGCTCTTCCTTCACATGCCTAGCATGGTGATATAGGTGATCATCCCGGCTACACTGGAGGGTGAAGCAGGAAGATCACTTGAGCCTAGGACTTTTGGGCCAGACTGGGCAACATAGTAGCAAGACCTTGTATCTTCAATTCTTTTTTTTTTTTTTGAAAAAGAATAAAAAGCATCCTTTACATGATTTTTATAACAATGTGGTTATCATTGTTATTTACTCCACACACAATTTCCAAAAATAAATTGAAATTGTTTACAATGAAATCCCAACCTATGAAATGAAGCTAAAGAGAAGAATATATGCTAGAAGAAGGACGAAGAGAAGAATGACTCTACTGGAAGACCAAGGATAATAGAAGCTACTGTGAATGAGCAAAAACTTAGCTCGGAACTTTCCTATGGTCAGCACATCAGAGGGAACTAGGTGGATATTAGGAAGAATAACACTAGCTCATAGATGAGACATACATTTTTCTGGCATCTTTGATAAATTTTGCTAAGGGAAGTTAATTAATACTTAGCATCTCTGATGGCAATTTTACCCAAAAGAGCAGCTTTTTCATATATAACTTGTCCTTATACCGAGTCTCAATCAAAAAGGCTACATGTAATACTCAGTATCTTAGTCTCTCCAGATTATATAAATAGGCAAGTCACCCTTAATAAGAATCAAATCACCTGTGGTGTTATTTAAACTATCACTTAAGGTGACATTTATGATCATATCATCACTAATTTTATAACAGAGTGGTCTGCATTGGGGTTTTATAAGTTATTACCCCCAGCTCCCCAGACTGGGCTCCTCTTACTAGAAGGAGGACTCAGGCATGGGAAGGAAGTGGCTAGGAGGCAAGGCGGAGGGGGCATCCCTCACCTTCAACCTTGAGTGCTGCCTCCGCGGGACTAACTCACCAACAGAAACCAGGCCTGTGGAAGGAACAGGCTGTGCCAGGCTGGCACTGACCTACTCAGCCGGTCTCCTCCAATGCCCACCTAGAAACCCTGATTTGTGGGGCTCAGTATGCTGCCTGTGACCAGCAATAAACCATCTATTTAGGGTTGGTGAGCACAGGGATGCAGGGAGGGAGGAGTGAGTCTCCACAAACCCTGTGCAGTTTAGGTGACTATTAACACAAGCACAGAAAGGCTCTCTCCTGTGGCGAGAGAGTACTGGGCAAGTCGATGCCGACATCTCAGGCCCTGTTCTAGCCCCTCTCCCTCCTGGAAGAGGCACCGTGGCCTGGGACAGTGAGGTAGAGGGCTGAGTCTTTCTGGTGGGTCTGGACGGGGCCATCACCTTCCTGTGATCTAAGTGAGGCTTGGATTTATTCAGTTGGGCATCTCCGGTGTCTACAAAAATCCAGTTGCTGGCATAAGCAGTTGAAGTCTGTGCGTCTTTATTCCCTCCCAGTATTATTATCATTAGGGTTTAGCCTTAGAAGAGAGGTAGGAGGAGGAACCTACTCATTTCTGATAGTAATAACATTTGGCACGCCCTAAAATATTTCTCTGCACTCTAGTTCACATTTGGGTCTTTCACATTTTCAATTCCAATTTTTCTATTGATCTACCCATCCATCCACCCACCCAGCCAGTCGTTTATCCATCCAAACAGTCATTTGTCTGTCTTGATTATTCTTCCATATATTTTAGCTATTTTTGCAATGTCTCATCACATTGCCACCAAATCCCTTAACATGGAGTATATGAAACATAACTAGTGGGATGATTTTTGGCCCTTAACTTCCTATGCAGAATAGGCACAGATGAGAAAAGAAATTTTAGCATTTAGAAATACATTTTAGAAAGAACAGATGTTTTCTGCTGTAACTATATACAGATAATGAAAATTTAGATGGAAGCATGCGTCCCTAGAGACATTTATGGTAGTATTTTGTAGTGGTTTTATTAAAAGGATACGGATTACTGATCATCCTCTTCAAATCGACCTTCTCTTTGCAGTAAGGGCAAGTCTGCTTTTTACCCACGATGCACCAACCTCGGATGCAGAACTCATGAAAGCTGAAGATCTTGTTAGGGAAGGTTCTAGATGCTAAAGGGCAATGTCCACTTCACGGTGACAAGGAAACAACCCTGCCTTTGGAGTCTAGTAGCAGAGGGTGAGAGGGATCATTAGTCCTGGCTTCATTCGTACATCATTTGTTCGGGTGATTTTATAGGACCAAGGCAGCGAGCGTAGGGTGAGTGCCACATTTCCTTCCTTCCTCCCTTGCTCAGGGTCCTCACATTCAGCTACATCCCCAACCCTTTTTTATATTTGTAAATTTGAGACAGGGTCTTGCTAAGTCTCTAAGTTTCCTAGGCTGGGCTTGAACTTGTGGTTGTCTTTCCTCAATCTCTTTGAGTGCTGGGATCACAGGTGAGTGGCCCTACCACTCCTGGCAACTGCATTAGCTTTCTGACCCCAAGGAATTTGTCTCGCTTTTTAGCCTGACTTCTCCTTGCCGTGGTTGATTACAGGAAGTCAGACAAAGAGTATGAAGATGCTTTTGTACAGTAGCATCTCACGCAAACGTGTCATCACAGTTCCAGATCCCTTTACTGTGCATTTCTGATGGAGTCACTGTAGCATCTCCCAGTTCTACTTTTGTGCATTACTTGTTAACCTTCTATGTAATCAGACTTGTCCTAGGGACTTAGACAAGTTTACATTATTTGTAGTCATAAGCTTACATATTTTTTCTTTTCTTTCCTCTTTTGTCTTTATGCTAGGGATTGAACCTTAGCCTCATACATATTGAGCATCATCACTGAGCTATATCCCCACCCACCCCTAAATTTACAAATATATTTATTAACTTCTTAAGCTTCTTGCATTTTTAAAAAGTACTGATAAAAAGACAATTATTTTTAATAGAATATATCCTCCCTCAACTTAGCCTATCAAACTCCAGGTATTACAAATTCATTTGTATACATCATCTTTTCCAGGAAAGTTCAACCCTTTGTCCCCTAAGCTGAGATAAACCCTGAGGGACTTGTCCTAATGTATCACGATGTTCCGTGTCCTGACTGTCTCTCTTAAGTCACATGGCACACGTGGGGCCATTCCACATTCATCTGTGTCCTCAGCACCTTGAACAGGGGCCCAAGGAATATTAATTAATGAATATTTGGATGACTGAAGAATGAATGAATCACTTGAAATCAATTACATTTAGAAGTAAATATTTCTAGATTCCCCAGTATTGCAAATTTGGACAAAAACGATACACTAGAACTAGATCCATCCCGTTGATCTATTTCTACATCATTGTTCTCCAGGCGGGTGGCTTTCTGGGCCGAGATTACATGAACTTTTGACCCATTTGCCACACATTCATGTTACTAGCACTGAGGCAGAGGGTCCCTCACTAAGAAACAGGAGAGTGGAGGTGTAGCCCGGGCAAAAGCTGAAATATGCTCCTCAATACCAGCTCTCTAGGAAACTAAGAGTTTCCACTATTTTATGTTGTTGGAATTGGGGGGATTTTTACAATGTGGTTAGATTAAGATAAAATGGAATTGTACAACAAAGATTTTGAACCCAAACCCATACAACCTTTCATTCAAAGGGCTGTGGTACTACCTTACCTTCCAGATAGATAGAGAGTCCAGGGGTCACAGAGCCTGCCCTGAAATGTCTGCATTCCCTTTTATCTTCCAAGTCTCCATGTGGAAAACACACGCCCTGGCCGATCTGCCTTCAGTGATAACTCAGATATCCCTCCTTGTTAAAATGACCCGTGTCTGCCCACTCCTCATTAATATGACTCATGCTCAAAGGGACCATTAATAATGCTCCCTGCACAGCAAATTCAAAGATGACTACACTTTCATTACATGTGCATGCATGTACAACAATCCCTAAGGGCTTTTAAAGGTGGAGAGAGAAAATATTTCCACTGGCCAATCACAGAGGGGGCTCTGTTCCAACATTTGAAAAGTAAATCATACTTAAGACGAGGGCCAGACTTGGAAAATTTTTACTAAGACTGATAGTTTTTTGGGAAAGGTGTACTAAAAAACTGCTGTAGAATTCCATATGGGTTATCTTTGTATTTCTTCCCTTGAAGTGTTAAGGCTTAAATGCTGGAGAAAAGACTCCTATTACATTTGAGATGCATTTGGACCAGCTTTTGACTCTTGGGATTGAATAAGTGGAAACTGTCCAGATTAAACAATTCTGTTAGAGGCACATTAAACAAATCTGGATAGAGGCACTGCACACTGAAGGCATTAGGTATTACTGACTGCATTAGACGGGCTTTGGTGAGAAAAGGCAGCTGGTTCAACCATCTCATGCCAGAGCTTTGATCTGACCAGATATGTAGAGATAATGTTATAAAATTGAGAGTCCATTATAAAATAAAGATGAACGGTGCCCCCTTGTGTGCATTTGGGAGCAAACTAAAATGTGGACCATTGGCCAACCCAAGCACCACTCCTGTATCTACAGTTACACACTTGGGCAGCACCGGCTGCTTTGGTCAGGTGTCTTGATGCCAGCAGTTTTCTCAAGGCTTCCTGGAGTTCCCAGGCCATACTGGTTCGGGCCCCAGGATTTGTTTGATACCTGGCTCCTTGAGCTCCTCCAGCCAACTGAGACCTAAGAGGTGAGGAGCCCAGTGGCCCAAGAACAAATGTCACATTTTGATCTCCCCTTCTGTAATTGAAGGTGCCCTGCTGCCTGGGGCATTATCCTTTTTCAAAAGGACCTATTCCAGAAAGCTGACAGGGAGGCTTCGTTTTCCCACTAGCTCCTCCTATGACTACTGTGGCCACAAGTTAGTCCCCAGGATAGAAGCACACGTTATGTTTCTTACACCGGGCTCCACCTAACACTTCACTCTCTGATTTGAGTTATGCAGCAGCCTCTACGTTTCATTCATTTTCTCACCCACAGCCCTTCTCTCCCTGTCTTTCTCGGTTTTACATGCTCACTTGAGGCTTCCATCAGCTTCCCTCTGCTCAGACACTGCAGCCTTTGGTCTCGTGGCATTAGAGTCCTTGATAAAAAGAAAATGGTGGGGAAGGTTCATCCTAGTTAGCAATATGTTATTCAGCAGGGCTTGTTGGAAAGCCTCAAGAATAAGGTGGATGAAGATGTAGGGCTTGAGGACGGAGCTGAGCAAGCCCCAGGAGGCAGGGACAGAAGGAGGGGAGGGGACAGCAAGGCTGAGGGAGGCCCAGTCCCGGGAAAGGATACACGTGGCTGCAGGAAAGCTGGTAGGTGTTCTCGATAAGTCCTTCTTCGTTGAGCTCCACGATGATCTTCTGCCCACAGACAGCGCAGATCTCGTCGGACAAGCTCCTGGTGGGCATCCCACTGACGCTGTGGAACTGCGGGGTAAGAACAGAGCACTGTTGGAGAGCAGCGCATGCGCCACCGTCGTGTGCAGGTGCAGGGCGGCGGTGGGTGCGGAATTCACGGCTTCCCAGCTGGTTTAGAACCCAAGACACCGGGTCCTGTAGAACAGCGCTGCAGAGGAGGGAAGCTTTTCAGAGAGAACCCACCAAACCCCATGGATCCAAAGTGCATCGCTGATTACAACCGCCCATCCCAGCTCCGCCTTCCATCCAGAGTGGCAGTTTAGCCTCACGCAGGCCGCCTCTGCTCATCCACTCATCGGCCCCATTTCCTTACTCTCCTGGAGATTCTGAGTCGCAGGTCTGGGGCAACCCAGTCATGTATCTCTTGTTAAAAATTCCCGTGCTCTTAGTGCACGCACACACAAGAATCACAACAATATATACAAATATACAACAATAGCACAGAGAATACCCCAATGTCCCAAATCTGTCTCCTCTATTCTTATCATCAGGTTTATTTTAAGGAATTGCCCCACACGTGTGTGGGGGCTGGTAAGTCAGAGCCTTCAGGGCAGGCCAGCAGCAGACTAGCGCGTCCTCACATCCTCTCTCTCTCTCTCTCTCTCTCTCTCTGACGACTCCATCCTCAGCAGAATTTCTTCTTCCCAGGAAGTCTCTTTCTGCTTTTCAGGCCCGTGGCTGACTGGCTGAGACTTGTCCACATCATCCAGGGTAATCTGCTTCACTTTAAGTCAACTGGGGGCAGATGTTAGTCATTTCCATCAAATACCTTTACGGCAACATCTGGACTAGTGTTTGATAAACACCTGGGTGCCACAGCCTAGGTAAATGGACAAGTAAAATTTGACCATCACATCCTTCTCAAGGGCAGAGTGTCTTCATCAACTTTGTGGAACTCTGAGGCATGGGTTTATCTATTTTCCATATATGTATTTATTTAGCCCTTTATTTATACCAATATGGACTCATGGTTATTTATTTTATACTTTGGGCTATAGCCCAATACTACTGCTGCTATTACTTTACTATTCAAATTTCAACTTTGGCTATTAGGAGCTCTTGTATCTCTTTCACATATTCCTATCATTGTAGGGTTTTTGTTTTGTTTTTAGCATTTCTGTGTTTCTTAGCTTTCCACTGCACTCACAAAATGCCAGATAAAGTCAACTTAAAGGAAGAAAGGTTTACTTTTTCTCATGGTTTCAGAGGTATCAGTCCGTGGCTGGCTGGCTCCATTGTTATGGCCCTGTGGTGAGCAGGACATCCTGGTGGCAGGAGCAGGTGACAGGACAAGGCTGCCCAGCTTCTGGTGGCCAGAAAGGAAGAAGGAAGAGGAGACACGCAGAATGCGCATGTGCCCCTTCTGCCATTGCTCCATCTTGGCCCCACCTATCCAATGGTATGGCATTGTCCATGTTCCGGGCGGGTCCCCTCGGCTTGCGGTCCCACATGCCAACTGCCTCTGGAAACACCCTCACAGACACACCTAGAAATGTGCCTTATTAATGTCCCAGGCATTTCTCAGTCCAGTCAAGTTGACACTCAAGATTAACAATCACAGTGTCTTCACGTTTGGGCACTACAAGATGCTCCAGAGTCTTGTATAAGAGGTGATCGAAATGTATTATGAAAGTTTAAATTAAAACATTTATTACAGTAAAAGACACTCTGCCTTTAACCCTCCTCAAAATCCTCCCCTCCCTTCAAACACACTAATCCCATTGTTCTTGCCACTTCCTGCAGCCATTCTGCTTCTTTTTCAGTGTCTTTCAAGTGAATGCTGCTGCCTGGTGTCATCCAAAGGAAAGTCAGGTTCACAAGAATATTACACTGGGTCCTCGTCCACCTTATTCACTGGATCTGGCACAGTGCAACTTCTGGCTCCTCCCCAAAGTCAAAATGACTGTGAAAGGTGAACAGTTTTAATCGATTCAAGGTGTGGTATGGAGGCAGCCACAGTAGCACAATTAAGACGCCACACGGGCCAGGGATTTAGCTCAGTGGTTTCGCCACCTGCTGAGCAAGCGCAAGGACCGGAGTTCGATCCCTGGTACCAAAAAAAAAAGACGCCACAAGAGGACTACCGGAGCTGCTCCAGAAAGTGGCAAGAATGGTAGGATGAGTGTATTCAAAGTGAGGGGGATTTGTGACAAAGTGTCTTCCCATGCAATAAACTTAAAAAATTAACCATTCACTATAACTTTTGATCGTGCCTTGTATATTCCTTGCTCAAATCTACAATCAGCCAGGAGCTCTGGTTCCTTTTATTGTAGAACAATTTTAGAAACCAACGTGGAGGCATGAGATTTGCTTCTGGGGTGTCACTGATTGTAGGGCCTCTCAGGTGAGGGAGCAAAAAATATATCTATATACACAGACCTATGTAGAGACACACGCCTGGTAACTTGTCTATATGTGTTCATCTGCACCTATATTAAGCTAAACCTGCATTGATACTGATGTCTCTAATTTTAATCCATTCCTGTATAAGTGGTTCAGTCTTTGCTCCTTACTTGTCTGTAATCTCTAGTTCTGACAATGAGAAGCCCAGCTCCCACTGTGTGCCTTTATTTACTTAGAGATTCACTTCCAGAACACACAAGTACTAGCTAGCATCAGAACTGCTAATCCCTAGCCCTGGGGCAATGACTTTACTGAGTAGAGTGCAACACAGCGTAGCCTCCTTCTGCTTTTGGTCTTATAACCTCCATTCATCTGTGTCACTTAGGATAACACGTTCCTCCACCCAGACCATCGGGGGGGTTATTTCACACAACTGTAATACAGTTCAATTCTTCTGTCACAGTCTGCATTCTATCCTGGGATTCTTTGACCTCTTTAATAATTTTTAAATTTTTCATATATGCAGGTTCAACCCTTCTGCCGCATAGTTTTGTGGATTTTGAAAAAGGCATAGTGGCATGTATTTATCATTCAAGAATCAGGCAGAATAATCCCACTACTGCAAAAAAAATCCCCTATTCTTTACTTAATTCTATTGCTTCCCTAAACCCCTAGGAACCGCTAATGTGTTTGGCATTCTGTATAGTTGTGCCTTTTCCAAAATGTCACAAATGGAATCATACAGTTTGTAGCCTTTTGGACTGGCTCCTCTTACTCAGCAATATGCATTTAAGATTCATCCATAGTTTTGGATGGCTTAATAGCACATTCCTTTTTCTAAGAAGTTTTTATTTTTATTTTTTAAAGCAAAGCAGATGGTTGGCTCTACTCCCAGGGACTCTGACCTGTGTGAGGCTTGGGAACTGGTGTGGAGTTGGAGATTGCCTTTCCTTTGCCTCCCCCTTACCTCAGTTACAAGCGCACGCGCACGCACACACACACACACATACACGCGCGTGCATGTACACATCATTCGTCCAAGTCACTGGTGGCCGGGCAAAGGGTTGGAAACAGTGGTTTTCGTAGGTTTAGTAGCTGGAAGATCACAAACGATGACAAAATGTTGAGGTCTTCCAGGGTGGGATCAGATGAGAAGGCCTCAGAGAGCTGGTGCTTAGAAGACTTGGTTGTCTCCCCAGGTGACATCTTCCGGTCCACTGGAGAATCAAATATATACAACACTTCTCTTCCCGTCCTGTTCACGAACAGAAGAGGCCTTGGGAATTTTCTCAGGGCTTCTGGTTTTGGTTGGAACTGAGACTGAAATGCTCCTTCTCACCTTGAACCTTGAACCCTGAACCTCATGAGTAAGGTGTTGTCTCACAGATGAACCCCAGCAGGAGAACCCTGAAAGGTGTGTCTCTGAACTGCACCACAGGAGCTGGGTTGTGGGGTCTACGAGAGGTCAAGAGTGAGCCCATGGTTGGGGTGAGGATGGAGGCCAAGGTCATTTCCACTTAGGTCCCGCTCCACCAATGGATAAAGAACAGCGCTCTCACTACCCATACAACATTTTCTGCTCCTATCTGGTTCCCCACAGACATTTAGAGGACAGGAAGCAAAATCCCTGAAACCTGGAACCCTAGGTTTGTAAATTTTAGAGACATGCACGTGCCAGACACTGATGAATATTCCTAATATCTGAATCTGAAATACACCTAAATAGAAAGTATGTCCATTCTGCATTTTAATTTTAAGAGTGTTGAAGAAAAAAGAAAACCATAACTATCTGGAATTAAAAAAAAAAAAAACCCAGGCACTAATAGATAGTCAGAATACATTTGGTATCCTTCTTCAGATCTTGTACTTCTTCAGATGATCTGTAATGACAGTTAATCTTTACAGTAAGTCTTACCCTGAGTTGTGTTGATTCCAAAACGTTTTATGCAGCATAAAGCATGATTTGTGTGAATGAGCATGTGTGTGTGTGTTTGTGTGTTGTTGGAGATTGGACCCAGGGCCTCACACATGATAGGCAAGTGATCTATCAACTGAGCTGTACTCCAAACCCCTCAAATATGATTTTCATTTGTTTTAGGCAGTTTCAGGCAAAGATAAAGGATTTTTGTTACAGTTGACCATTTGTTAATCCTTCAAATGTTGGCAACCAGAGTGAGCTTGGTAGGAGGACCCAAATAAATTAGCATAATTATTTTACAGGATGCCTTATTCACCAAACACTCTATACGAAAAATATATTTTCCAATTAGTTAACAAAGACCTTTTCTTTTTTTGGTACTGGGGATCGAACTTGGGACCAAAGAACATTTTTTGATGTAAGCAGAAGCTGAAGAGCAATGGGCCTGGGGGAACCAAAATAGTACCAAAGGAAATGATGCAAATATATAATGATGTGAATATGAAACCATTCTTCCCAGGGTCGTAATTGGTTTAGAAGAATGAAAGCAACACTTACCCCTATGGTAGAGGCCATGTAATCTGAGCAGATCTCAGCAAAGTCTCTCCCCATGACTCCATAGTAGAGGCCGTAGAACAAGGACAAAATGCCGAAATCCAGGGAATCTCTAGCTTTGATTCTGTTGAAAACAACAGTATAATGAAATGAGAAAATAGCATTAGGGGGTGAGGTGGAGGAGGCTGGAGCTTGGGAAATATTTTCTGCCATTCTATCTAACAAGGCCATGTGGATATGTATTTTCATTTAGTTTTTTTTTTTAATGAAAGAAATTTAAATCCTCTAAATTGTCCTCAAATGATACCACTCAGTGCTAGTGGACAGGAGTTCTTGAATGGTGATATGTTCCACAACCTCCTGGGGATGCATGAAACCTTGGGCAGTACTGGGTCTTTAATATACCATGTTCATTGAACTTTCATTTCACTTTACAATGGCCCCAAACACAGACTTTTATTATAGTATATTGGTACGATTGTTCAGGTTTAGTATCAGTTATTATTAACCTCTCATGGTAACAAATGTATAAATTGAGTGTAATGATAGATATTTATGAATAGGTCAACTGTAGTCCCAAGTGGTTTGTGGGAAGAGGAAGTAAAAAGGGTCAAGATGAGACATACACGTGTACCAGTTCCCTACACTAAATATATTTACTGGGCACCACAGATGTGTACTAATAAATGAAAAAAATCAAAGCATTATAGATGCGTGCTAAAGAAATGAGCAGTGTCTTTCTACTTCTTAAATTGGCAATAAGAGGTGTTTACAATTACTTTCTCTGCTAGAAATGTTAGGATCCTCCTCTCTCCGGAAATTCCTTGGAATGCTTATGAAATCAGATCACTATATTGCCGTAGGAAGAGCCTATGGCAATGCAGGACTGATTCTCCTTCCAATTACTTTCCTTATGAGTCAAAAGTTGTCGCTCTCTGCTTTGCCCGTCTCTACCAGTTATGGTCCCAAGGATTTGGAGTAACTTCAACCTGAAAAGTATTCCAGGGGATTTTTACTGGAGCTGCTCCCCAAAGCTGTGTCATAATCGCCTCTCCAGAGCATAGGCCTGGTCCACAGCCTCAGCTCTGCCTGGGAGAATCTCACCCCAGGGCAACTCAGCAGCCACCTGCCTAAGAGGGGGACAGTTCAGAGTCACAGATGTGATCATCCACCGGTTTCCTTTATTTTTCATAAGACTTTCTTGTTCTCTTACCTCCACTCCTCTTTCAATGTCTAAGCACCTAGCTTCCTCCTTTCCCAGCTATGCTAAACAAAAGAGTCTTCATGGATACAAGCAGCTACCTTCTGGCAGATTTCCATGGGAGAGCAGTGCTGTTCAGTGGGAAGACAGCCACGAATGCACAGCTGTGCACCACCTACTGACATTCTGGTCAATGCTGTGCTTTATATATGACGGTGGCCCTATAGGGTCATGTCATCTAGGACAGCATAGCTACCTTTGGGTCAGTGTAGTCTGTGAAGGTGGCACAATGATAAAATTGTCTAACAATGTGTTTCTCAGACTGTACCCCATCATCAAGTGACACATGACTGTAATTTTAAATTTTCTAGTGGCCACATTAAAAAAGTACAAAGAAAAAAGAAAAACAAAGGAAAAAAAGTACAAACAGGTGAAATAAATCCCATCAATATATTCAAAATAGTATTATTTCCACATGTCATTTCCAATATAAAATCATCTTTTCACATTGTCTTTGAAATCCAATGTGTCTTTACACTTATGGTGCATCTTAGTTCATATTTTAAGTGCTCAGTAGCCACATAAGCTCGTGGATACTGCCTTGGCCAGCAAGTTCTGAAGGTTTCAGAAAGAAGACACAGAAGGGAAATTAGACACCAGGATCATATGGGAAGGAAATGTATAGTTCAGCGACAATTACGAACTCTACCACTGTGGGAGGGCCGCTTTCAGTGGTGATGTTTTAAATCCACACCCAAGGATAGATCTCTTTAAAAGAGCACTTTAATGCTCAATTTTTAAAAAATGTTATTTTGAAATCCTTAAAGCTCCTAATTTTAAAAAAATTTTCTTTTGTAGGGTGCCCTTTTCTTGCTTTTCCCTCCAAATAAGACTGGTTTTCCCCTAACAATAAGACTGTGAGTAGATATCTACCCTAAAAGTCGTGAGTGTGGGACATAGTAGGGTTAGATGCTCCTGGAAGAGAGATCACAGACAGGTCAATGTTCCAAGCAGTGTCTTAATTGGAAATAACTTACTTGAAAACTAAATGGAATCCACACATTGTAAACATGATGGCCAAATAACCCACAACACCAAATGCATAGCTGAGTTTGTAGATGAGGAGAAACCACTTGTAGACCAGCCTGTGCAGAGAGAAACAGGGAGAAACACAGAATATGGTATATTAAAAAGTATTGTGTCTGGGCCGGGGGTTTAGCTCAGTGGTTCCGCCTCCTGCCTCGCAAGTGTAAGGACCTGAGTTCCATCCCCGGTACCAAAAAAAAAAAAAAGTATTGTGCCTTCTGCAAGTATTGTTATAAGTAAATTATAGTTCCTAAAATTGGATTTCATACATGTTATACAGAAGTGTATATGTATATGTGTCAAGATCAAGAATAAGTTAGTGTTTAATATAACAGTCACAAGCAATATCCAAATGGAACTGTCACGGTGAATGGAGTGGTCCATGCCTGTAACCCATTACCTGGCTGGGTGGCTATGAGTGTGCGGTCACCTGGGAAACTTAGTGAGGCCCTGTCTCCAAGTAAAACTAAATACATAAGTCAATAAACTAGGATGATTATGCTTATGAGTTTCTACGTATAATGCAAAGTCATTTTAATTTATGTCTCCAGTGTAAAAAACTCGCCTTCAGAAATGGCTCCTCCACCTGGAATGCTACACTGTCACTTGACCCTAGGGTTAGCTCAGAGCGGTTTTGGCGGGGGTCTTTGCCAGCAGGCAAGATGGGCCAAGTCCTGTGTCCTGAGAGGAGGCTCCCTCCAGCCCTGCGTCTTCCTCCTGCTGTGCCGCCCTGCTCCTGCCCGTCCCCAGCCCCGGTGCTCAAGTCATCAGGCTTGGGCCCACCTCCTCAGTGCCTGAGAGCCCTCCTCCGGCCCAAGCCTGCCATTCCAGGGCCCTGCAGCCCTGAGCTGTGCTGAGCGGCAGTTCCTGTGTGTCCCAGTAGCACCGCTCCCCTTGGGCCACAGGGCTGAAGTGGAGGACAGGGTGGAGGGAGGAGAGAGAAGGGGAGTTACAAGGAGCCTTCCACCTGGCTCTTTCCATCCCTGCAGACAGCAAAGGCCCTCAGAGAAATCACAGCGAGGGCTGCCTGGCTGGGAAGAGGTCGGAGGCCACTGGGGCACGGGCTGGGGGGCTTCTCCTCGGTGCCCCAAGGCCAGACGGGTGGCTGGGATGTCACTCGCCAGGGTGCCCCGTGGCAGAAGCCTCTGGCTGCCCTTGCCCTGTTCCTGCATATCTTCCTCCAGGCCTTTTCTGTCTTCCCCCGAAGCACATTCCGAGTCTCGCTCTGACAGAGACCGCTGCAGGGACAGAGGACAGACAAACTCCTGGGCCCTTAACCCGTTGCTCATCCAAAGCATGATTTGTGTTTTCTTCTGAGCTAGTGAGAGACTTAAAAGTGATTTTTGCTAGAAATCAGTGATCTTTAGATTTGGGCCTACACATGTCTGTTAAATAGGTAACTAAAAGCAGAACAAAGCCTGGCCTTATTTTGCCTCTGTCTCCTTCAGGGCCTCAGGACTCTGGGTCCAATCCCTGTTCAGCTCTGCGTCTAGGCCCGGCCATCATTTAGGGAGTGCTTCCCTTCAAGCAGCCAATAGGAGGCCGCTCAGCCCCAAGTGTACACTGTCTCACCTCCCTTCAAGACAGAAGACACCAAGATAAGAGATCTGCGGGGACATTCAATGCTGCTAGCGAGCGCGAATCCATAGGGCCAATCTGGTTCTTTCACCGCTGAGCCTCCTTTGGCTCCTCACACCGAAGTCTTTTCCCTTCCATCCTCACTCTGCCTAATAAATCTGCCCGCACCTCTCCCTGATGTATCCTGAAATGGTTTTCCATGACAAACGCCACGGAGTGAGCCTGCTCGGGGGTCATCTGAGGTCCTCACCTTCCTCTGGAGAATGTCTTAGGACCCATTCTGTGACAGCTGAGAGCTGGCCCCCACTCCCTCTCTTTCCCCATTTGCCCCCCCTTGGAGCCAGTGTATTGGACCCTGACGTTCCAAGTACTCACGTAAGCTTCCGGTACTTTAAAAGATGTTTTATTTCCCTGAGTTCCAATCAGAAGAAACCTGCTGAACTGTTACGGTTTAGATGGGGGTTGTGGGGTAGCTGAGGAATGAGTTGTCGGGAGATCATTTCTATGGTGAAACGTCTCCACTTCAAGAAACGGACACACAAGGTACTTTCTCCCCCTGGGTGTCTCCAGCACCGTGGGACAGGTAGGCAGCAGTGAACTACATGCACCCATACACTCACTTGGCTACACACGGTCGCTTAAGTTGCAATAAGTCTGTGTCTCCTCTAAAAAGGGCCAGGGAGGGCTTTGGGGGTCTTTTTGCCACAGTGACACTAAAGTCCCTGGTTCTTTGGATTTGCCTGTGCTGAGCAGTCTTGGAGTTCGGTGCTGCCAGGTCAAAGTGGCAGCTTATGCCGCTCAAAGGGTCACAATGGGGAAGCAGACAACTCCAAGAGAGGCTTCCTACTCAGCACTCAACACCAGCGCTCGGGCTCCTTGACCCCACACATCCTCTCCCTGCCACGAGGAGCCTCTCTCAGACGGATGCCACCATGAGAGTCACTCCAGGGCTAACAGCTTTGTGAACTGCAAGATATGGAAGGAACAGCTTGGCAGTGAGTCATCTTTGGCTGATCCTGGGTTCTGTTGCTGACCCCCAGTGGGATTCTGGGCAACTGACTTGCATTTCTGATTGCTCCATTTCTACAGTGAGGAGGACAGTGCCAGCTCCTGAGGTTGTCCTGAAGATTAGTTGATATAACCTGTCAGTGTTTAAAAGACCCGGAGCACTGAAGCTCAGTATGTCGGGTTGCTGTTACAGACTATGTTAGATTTTTCATATTCCAACTCTCCTGTAGTTTGAGGATACCAGTTTCCTGGAACACTAGAGCCCAGAATTTCCCTTGCTACTCAGACCCACACTGTAAAGCAGGTAAGCTGGTTAGAAAATTGTGTGACTGCTTCACATCAAATTCCAAATGGTAGAATGGACCTTGCTCCGCCCTTGGCTCGTGTGTGGTGTTTTTGAGCCTGAATTTCATTGCTTGCCTGAAAAATCTGACTGAAGTAGGCAGAGAGGAAACTCAATTCCCCTTCTCTGGAAGTGTCCACAGCAAAGGTTCGAGATTGCTCTGGGGAGGAACAGCAGGTTTTAAACTGTTGGTGCTGGAGACCATGACTCTTGGGTTTGCTTCTGTACCAAGGCTGGTCTGCTTACCTAGCTTTCCTCCCTATAATCAACCTTCTGCTTCTAAAGGTCCACACGGAAGCCAGGGCCTATGATCAGCCATTTGAAGGAGATCCTTTATCCTGCTGCTTTTCTGGAGGAGACCCTTACTAGTGTGCCCATAGCTGTCTCTTCCCACGGCAGCAGGACCAGGCCCCTGGCGCTCTTGGCTCTCGGACTATACTCAGGGTGTGGTGCTGAGGAGCCAGGAAGAAGCTGAAGGGGACTTCTGCAGGCACAGGAAGCAAATGGCCCGCTGCCCTGGCCATGAGACATGTGGTCCATGGAGAATAACGAAGCAGCGTGTGGGAATTTCCTGTGCTATAGCTCCACTATACAACAGAGATTATATCCGTCAGATACAAACAAGTACATCGGGATGCATCCCAGACTCAGAGTTCTGTCACAAGTATTAAATAAAAAAATTTTGTTAGAAGGAAAAAGGGTGACATATCCATTTCACTGATGGGTAAATAACCAAGACTGATCTGGCCAGTTTAGAAAGTCTCCCAGCTCTTCTGAAAGTGGAATTAATTTAAAATACTTATACACTTGAATTCATGCATTTGAAGTTCAATTTTCATCATCACATTTACTTAGGTAATTTCTTTCACTGCATATTTTTCTTTCTTTATGGAAAGAAGCACATGCTAATAGTCATCTCTCCCACTTTCTTAAAGGATAAAGACAAATATCAAAATAGTTAAAAAAGCATACAAAGATTTCAAAGAAGCTTATAATCAATTCTCCAAAGAGGTCAAAGTTCAACATTGTCTCATTGCTATTTTACAGTTCACATACTTTCTCTTCATCTCATTGCAGTTTTACCTTGATGAGGATTTGGGTCTTGGCAGGGACTAAAGGGAAGAGGAGCGAGTTTGTAGCACACGATAAGCACTTGGAAAAGATGCACGAAGGAGGCAATGGGATCATAGAGACCTCGAGAGGCTGGGCACGCGATGAGTGTGATCTCCAAAATAAGGAAGCCTCGTTACCCTTTCAGCTCTCGCTTGATTTAAAAATGTGTACGGCTCAACTTCCACCAGAACAGAGCAGAGATACTGAGCTAAGAAACCCCAGCAAATAGCGCTTAAGAAATTTAAAACAATTTTTCACTTCTCTTTCCTTTGGCTTCCACAAGTTCAGATCTGAAGCTAGAATTTTGACAGGCATGGCCGAATCGCCATTAAACAGAGTGCGAAGTAGCAGGATGGTTAATCTCCAAACAGCTTTGCTACCAAAAGTGAAAGAAGCTTTTCAAAGTGTAATATCCTTACCCTGCCCCCAGGAAAAAAGGAAATCAAATATACCATTTAAAGCTTAAATTAAAGAGGCTCACGGGAAGGAAGGAAGGAAGGAAGGAAGGAAACACATACCGTGGTGTCCTCCCTGAGAGCGGCTTGCGGGTAGCTCTAAAGAGGGTGTAACTGGTGACGACGGAGAACGTGCCCCACACCGACAGGAACCGCCACCAGTGGAGCTTTAGGGTGAAGTATAGGGGAACGACCCACATCTGCAGCAAGGTCACCAGCTGTCCCAGAAATGAACAGAAAGTCTCCTTCAGTGACCACAGCCCTGAATGGCACCTCCATCGTTTTTTACTTTTCAGCGCTGAGGATGGAACCCAGGGCCCCATGCACGCTAGGACCACGTCCTACCACTGAGCACACCCGGGCCCCGCGTCTCTGTCACATGTCACATTCCCAGTCTTCTCTGGGGGAAGCCAATGGCCATCACAGCCCGCCGGAAGCTGCTCCTGGACGCGCCAAGTGAAAGAGGTGATGGATGCAATCTCTGAGGATTCACATGGGAACCAACCCAAATACCCGCCTCTGTCCTTTCCTTTCATCCATTTCAAATTAAAGCTAGTTGTGGCTTTGACAGCGATGGATGTGATTTTGGACAAGCGAGGCTCGCTATTGCTGTACGGTTGGGGGTACGCTGAGAGCCCTGCTGCCTCCCCGTGCTGCTGGAGGCAGGTGAGGATCAAATGAAGGTCTGGGTGGGTGGAAAGGCACGCAACGCCACACTGCACTGTACGCAGCCGAGGGGCTGCTGTTGCCATCCTGATCCTGTGTGGAAATGCACGTCCGTGGCAGGGGAGGGGGTGACCGTGGCCAGGGCAGCTCGGGACCCGGCTTCCCGGCCCTCACCCCACTCCAGCTCGCCCTCCTCCTTAGTCACTGCTCTCTACTGCAGGCTGCCCAGCCTGGAGCTCACACCCTGTCTTTGTCCTCTGCGCCTGACCCTGGTGCCCCTGACCGGCGTCCAAGCAGTTTCCAGGTGTCCTCGAACCAGCTGGTTCCTGTCTCACAGGCCAGGGAGGAGGACAGATGGAGCTGATGGGCTGGGGGCGCCCGACTCCATCTGGTCCCTGTGGCGGCCAGTAGTCCTGCTCTCCAGAGCGGGCCGAGTACCGGCCAGTCGCCTTTCCTGGGAAAGCAGATGGGCTTGGACGGCAGCAATAACCCTTGGTCTTACGTTTCATCTCACTCCGACGAGGCACCTGTGACTTGCTCAGAAGGAATCTAAGGAGATGGCAAAGAGATTTGGTTTCAAGGGTGGATGTTAGTTTTGCAGTGCTCTGCAGAGGATTCTGAGCCGGACCCTGGCTTAGTGGCAGAGTCTCAGATCTGCACTACCTGGCCCGCCACGTGGGAAGAGTCCTGTGAGAGTTTACACAGCAGCCTGCACATAGAAGGACTGAGGCTGTCTGTCTTGTTTACCTTCTTAATCTCTATGAGAAAAGGGGAAGGCTTAGAAAGAAGAGTCTCTGTGTACAGTGTTGGCTCCTTAGAGGTGTGTAAGATCAATAATCAAAACTCTGGGACAGGGCTTCAAAATGCAAGGAGGAGGTCAAGGCCGCACCGTCTTCTTTCCATGTCGAGTGAGCAGGCGCCCCGGCTCTTCATTCTCCTTCTACTGCTCCACCTTCATAAGCTGATGACCAGAAGTCTTCTTAGAATTGCTCTAAATCTCCTTTCAGACATGAAGGTTGCTATTTCATATGTGTTTGAGCAAAAATATCCAAGGAGCAAATCTGAGATAAATGTCTGGAGTTCAGGAAAAAAAAAATCCTATTTTCTTTTTTAATTTCAGGGAAAAGAAAAAAATTTGTTTTTTGGTACTGGGGATCGAACTCGGGACCCTGCACTTTTGAGGCAGGCAGTGGCACCACTGAGCCAAATAGAAAAATTTTTTTATGTTTTCTTGACTCAGTTAGATAATCTCTTCAGTTTCCCAAGCTATTTTGTGATTTAGGTCCAAGTTAATGAGCATGCTAGCACCTTTATTTATGACACTGAGATAAATATATCCACAGGTAGGGAAAGGGGCTTACTGAAGGAAGAAGAATAGCTTTTATGAGGACCTGAATGCCTGATAGACAGTTGGGACACAAAACATGCTGACATTAGTACTCAAATTAGCAACCGTGGCCCTCTGCTGTTGATAATGAAAGCTGTATTGTAGCCTTTAAAAAATAATCTCATCAGCATTTTGGTCATTCATTTTCCATAGCTGATTTTGGAGATGGTTATTTATCATAAATTATAAAATTGATGACTTTTAAAGTCCAGTATTTCTGCTTTTGTTGTGCTCTGCTAGGTGAGTGCTCTACCACTGAGTTGTCCCCAGCCCTAATTTCGTTACTCCTAACATCAAAGGAGAGGGGCACGACCCTCTGTCATTTGTATCTTTCACCTAAGAATTTTATTCTTTCACTTTCCTCCCATAAAAGATTTTTTTAAAATAAAAAGTTGAGTTACTTGATCTTAATTCAGGGAAACTACTATGTTCTTATATTTTATACTTTAGATTGTAAGACAACATTTATAAAACTAATAAGTTTCTTTAAATTCATGGAGTTACAACCTATGAGAGTTTGGAGCTACAGCTGGACTATATTTTTATAAAATGGGTTCTTTCCCTGTGGATCTATAAGAACAAGCCATTTCTAGAATATTCCAAATTTCTCTTCCTGGATTCCTGGACTGAATTAACATGGAATAACAATGTGGAAGGTATAGACACTACTTTTTAAGATAGGCTTTGAAGATCAGATATGAAATTAAAACAAAAAATCAACATGTGTACAAATATTTAATTTCTTAACTATCTTTAAAGTGTATACACAGTTCCACATTTTCTCACTATGCAAAGAAAAAGACCAGAAATTTGCTTTATGAATTCAATAATTATTTGAGAAGTCAGTTTGAAATGAGGGTCACATTTCATAGCAATTTAAAAATTCTTTGTCAATTTCCAGAGCAGTTAAAACTTCTCATTTTTAATAGTAACTACCACATATGAAATGTAAGAATGCCGTGCCTCATAAATAAACACATGAACTATGTGAAGTGGAGGCGCATACAGGCAAAGGAGGAAGCCTGGGATCTGGAACATGTTAATAATGCCAGAGGGGTCACCATCTGGGCATGTGCATATAAAACACATCTGCACTGCTGGTGAAGGGCAGCCCATGCATCTGGATCATATCACCCACGTTCTCCCCACCCACACATCATAGCAGGAGGAATTTTCTGACAAATCAGATGCCGCCCAAAGGTGCTATGTTTTTTTTTCTTGTTGCCATGCACATAATAAATGTGAAAAGAACTGCAGATAAGTCAAAACAAAGATATTTGTCTAATTGTGTAGCATGATGAATGCGTCATGCAGTATTTAAAAAGGAAAGAAGAAAGAAAGAAAGAAAAAGGAAAGAAGAAAGAAAGAAAAAGAAAGAAAGAAAGAAAAAGAGAAAGAAGAAAGAAAAGTTTGTGATGCACATTGTCTTTACATTGCAAATCCCCAACTATTTGCAAACATTTGTGTGCATATGAATGGGGTGCAGGAGAACAGAGGAATTCTGGGAGGTAAGCAGAGAACTTTGGGGGAATAAATGACTCCAGGAAACATCGCTGCTATCTGCACAAAGGCAATGAGGAAAAGTGTGGACATAAATCAAGCAAGAAAGTATGGAATCTTAGCACATAAAGGGCCCTTAGAAATGCAGTTGGTCCATATGTCCATCTCCAAATCAATCCAGACAATCTTAACTCTTAAAGAATATTCTGTACGGTTATGTAAGTATGTATATAAGTTATGCGTGTATTTATGCCTTGCCTCATTTTAAAGAGATTTGAGCAGACACAATGCTTTACTGGCACAGTATTTTCTAGTGTTTTATGGCTCTTAATTGGCAAGAAGTTTGATTTAAATAGAGCAGTGTTTCAGCCTGTGGCACATTATTTGCTTGTGTATTGAGGCAAATTAATAGTATGTGTGAAACCCAAATTCTGTGGAGGTAGTGCTCAGACCTTCAGTGGATTTGAAGAACAACAGAAGGCTTCTGTCTTATCATTCTCTTTTCTACTGTCTGCAGATGTGAAAAAATAGATGCACATTAAAAAAAAATGGAGTTTATTGAAATAAATTTTACTTTTAATTAAATGCTATTAAAAGCATTTGGGAATAATTTAACTTTGACGCTCTGGCAGTGTCTACACTGTATCATAATTACCAGATGGAAAGAGAAAAATTAAAATATTCAGACGGTTGATCTATACAGTACTAAAAATGTGATTATTTGGAATTCTCCGGGTGCGTAGTATTATCCCAAACAAAATAAGAATTTTCCACTTTCTACCTGCACTTTTTGCAATCACATAGGAGCAATTAATGCCATTTTAAATTTTATATTCCAAGTAAATCATTTCTTTTGGTTTAGATATTATAATCATTGGCTCTGAATTACACAGCTCCTACGGACCACAGAATATGGTCTGTAGCAGTGGTCACATGAACACTTCAGAAGAGGGGCATGTCTGGTACAAGTTGTACCTGTGCTTTGTGAACCAGCCTCTCTCCCCTCAAGCACATTAAGCATGAGCTAATGTGAAAATAGTAATACTTCATGTATAATAAGTAGGGCCTTCAGGGTGTACGTAATTTGTATACATGACAGTACCTTCAGTGCACAAAGCTATTTGCACATATTGTGTGTGCATGTCCCACTTTTTTTTTCTAATTACTTTCCCTTGCTTAACTGCCAACTCTCGCTCAAACAGCAAGTAACCTGGGCCCCCATCTGTCATCTATTTGCTTAATTGTTCCGTTCCAGGACACATACGTAACAGTGTCAGAATTGCTACCCCTCTGCCATGAGAGACAAATTCATCCCCTACAGTAGAGTGGTGCTGATGAGTTCCTATTGGTCGAATCTGCAGACTGCTCATTTCCAAAGTTACCTAGGTCAGCACCCTCCCCCCTACGGAAATTGCTTCATACACTTGTAATGCAGTTAGATCCTTTGGTCACAGTCTCCATTTCTCCCGGGATTCTCCAATCTAATTGACTTTTGTGTGTGTGTGTGTGTGTGTGTGTGTGTGTGTGTGTGTGTGTGCAGCACCAGGGATTGAACTCAGGACCTTTTGTTTTTGAGGAAGGCGCAGTGCCACTGAGCTAAATCCCCAGTCACCTAATTGACTTTTAAACATTTGCATACTTTGAGGTCCATTTTTTGTACCACAC